AGAGAGAGCAGAACGTTAGAGATTGAACTAATAGATTCTGCAGAGTGGGGGAATAGAGAGAGAATGAAGCAGAATGATGAAAAATGAGTCCATTAAACTCATATTTCTGTATTCATTTCAGTTTGTTGGTCAGATATAATATTCTAATCTAACTATAAAAACTATCAAAAGAAAACTCTCCTTATTACCTGAAATAAAAGCTTGAAGAGGATTTAAACTTTTAACATGATCTTTGCAGCATTCAGCATCGACAGGTCCGTAAATATATTATAATCACCTGAGTTAACACTGATAACAAACAAACAGACCGTTGTTGTTTTTTCTACAATGTTTAGGTCTCTCAGGCGGCTGCAGAGCTGAAGACGTTCTGTCTGCAAAATGCTCACAAAGACCCGCTGCTGACCGGGGTCCCCTCCAGTGATAACCCATTCAGGCCTCCCAAATCATGTGTTCTGCTTTGAGGTGTGTGCTGCTGAAGATTATTCATCTTCTTAAATGTCTTTATTCTTCTCACATGCTTCTGTGTACTTCCGTATTCCCTAAAGGTCTGATTTAAAATTAGATTTCCCCAAACCTGATTAAACTGAGCAGCATTAGCTTCTAATCGACCAGGACTCCTTTGTCATTTGAAGCCTTTTTTGCAGATGAAAGGTTTCAGGTTGTATTTCTAAGAAAACTACATCATGTAAATTATCATTTGCTTTATATTTTCAGGATTGGGAAGCAGAACGCAGCGACCAAACAGACTCCTGTGGACTTTATCAAGGTGTCACTGCTGCTGAAGATGAAGAAGAAGAAGAAGACCTCACCGCCTGCAGCTGATTGTCAGACAGACTTTTAGTCAACGAAAAAACAATTCAGTAAAAGAAAATACGTCTGTTCCAACGCTTCTCCAGAATTAATCCCATTTAGATATTGAATAATAAACAACTTTATATCCTATAAGATTGAGATATATTTCAACATGCTAGCATATTTCTATTTTTCTATTTTTAAAGGTTGTAGTTTAATTCGCTTTTAAAACACAGCAAAGGCTTCTTTTCTAAAAGATTTCTTTCTTTTCCAACTTTCTAAAAAACATATTTGGGATGCTTTCAGAAAATAAATGTGTTTATTCTAAGCTTTGTAGATTGGTCTCCTAATTGATTGAATCAATGGTGCTTTTAGACCAAACGTTCCGGGAGGGAGACGTTTTCTTTTTCCAGGGGAAACCGAAGAAACCAAAGACTGAAACATGCTGGTGAAGATTCTCAGTCCTCCAGGTCATAGTCCTTCCAAGTTTGAAGACGTTTCTCTTCCCATCCAGGAAGCTTTTTGAATTCAAAATGTCAGAAATAGCGCTGAGTTCCAGGTTTTATGCAGTCGCCCAGCAAAGCCTTGTTTTTGCTTAGAAAACATGCAAATTGAAACAGACGAATGGACCCACTCTTTTCCAAAAAGGGTGGACATTTTGAAAAAAAAAAGCTTCCTGGATGGGAAACCACTGAATCCAGAGGGGATGGGTTAAATGCAGAGAGTTAATTTCGTTGCTCTGTACTTGCAATACTGTATTGATAATAAAAACGCTGGAAAAAAACAAACAAATAGTGACACAATAAAACTAAAAATCTTCTCTAAATGTTGATGGACAGTTTTAACTGTTTGTTTTTTATTAAAATTCAAAATACTTTAAGGTGAGCTTAGACTGAACATTATTCTTCTGGAGTTAATTTCGACATCCAAAGTCTCCCGGAAGTTCCGGGAGTCTCCCTGATATCGATATTTGTTCACGGATGCTGATTGGATCATAAGTTTCTCTGGTTACTCTCTGGCTGTCACCTAGTTACCACTCAAAGCTGCGCATCCTGGGAAACGGCAGTCCGCCCCTTTGGAGTGAAAGAAAAATAATTATTGTTTTAAATTTGAAATGAGCAAAAGAGGCATCTGCGGCTCTGGACAACAAAAAAAATAGCCAATAAAATTATGATCCTCTCTGATCTCTCCAAAAGTAGAACAATTTTTAAATAATTATGAAAATGAAACAGTTACGGTAAATAATAAATTGGACCAAAGGACCAGTTATTGTCTCTGTGCAAGACATTATTAGACATTTATTTAGTTTAATGCAGAGGCCAGGACCAGTTGTTTTTTCTTTTTTTTTTCTTGTAATTTTAATTCAAAAATGTTTTTTTTTTTTTTATTTTAGAAAATAACTTTAAATACCTGTAGGAAAATAATTATCTAATATATATCATATTAGCATTGCCTACGTTGCACTATTAAAAGTACGACTCAAACAGTGTTAAAGTGGTGGAAAGATGACCACCTGAGCAGACGGGCCGCGTGAGGAAAGAGTTTTACAAAAAAAAAAACATTACGGGCCCTCTGGAGGTGCTGCAGGGATCCACCGCTCAGGTGGGCGATTGCACACAAAGAAAACAGATCTGGTCTTTATTGAAGTGCATCAAAAGAAAGCTGGAGGAAATCCTGTCCACAGACGCATTTAAGGATGCAGCAAACATTTCAGACAAATTAATCCAAAAAATCCATTTGGCGATTTACAGGAGAAACACTGTGGAAGAAAACAATTCACAACTTCTTGGACACAGCAGCTTTAAAGTGAAACAGAGGCCGTGGCATCAGTTTATATAGATTTATTTTCAGGAGGGAAAGGGAAATTGTTGAAAGTAAACACAAGGAAGCCTGTTAAAGGCTGAAAAAGCTTCACAATGGGGCGTCGGTTCAACCAAGGAAACATTCCTAAAATTAGAGCAAGAACTACAATAAATGGTTTAGATGAAAGCATAATAATGTCTAGAAGAATCCGGTTAGAGTCCAGACCTAAATCCCTTAGAATCACAGGCTTATTAATGATCTTTAGAGACACTCATTCTAAGCTGACTGAGCTCAAACTCATTTACACAGATTTCAGTTCCTATACTCAAAATAAATGTTGCATAAACAGAAAATATTTTTATAAAGTATTTTCACTCAGGGATACAGAGTATAAATCACATATTTCAGACTTGTCAAACATGTTAAGAACCTGTTTCATTTTTTTCCCCACTTTATTGTTCACTGGTTTATGAAATTTGAGAATATTCTGATCAAATGCAAAACATGAAAACATTAAATGGGACAAATATAAACAAAGAACTATTAATGTATAAATACTCTAAACAATGTCTCCCTATCCCTACTTTATTTTAGCAGCGACTAAGAACATATATGAACCTACTGTAATGTAAAAGGAATTTTTTTTATGGTTTATGAGATAAAACAGCAGTTGAGCTTCAAGTTTTTGTGCACAAGAGCAGTAAAATGTTTTCCTGTCCCTTTTCTTCTTGTTTTCCTCTCTATGTTTTGTACTCAGCTGACTTTTCATGCTGTCTCTAAAGGAATGAAAGATTTTTTCCAAGCACTAAGCTCACTTAGCTGATTGCTCCTTCCTGTGTTTCCAAAAAGGCCAAAGTAAATAACCCAGTCCTTCTTTTCACTGTAGACAAGCCATGATCTGCTTATCTGTTCTCCATTTTTCATTTGGATGAAATAATAGCTGCATGAATCATGACAGCAGACAAGATAGAGGAGAGCAGGAGGCGGGGTTACCAATCGACTCGCTCTGGAGAGCAGAGTTCGCTGCTTTTAGATGTTGTCTCCAAAGTCTCCAGTAGCAGAAAAAAGTTGCTAGATTTGACGCTAGGAGCTTTTTAGAAATCAAAGTGCTAGAGGGGTCTGAAAAGTGGCTAAATATAGCGACTAAAGCGCTAAGTTGGCAACACTGCTCTTTGCATGGTTTGTTTTCAAATGGTTTGCTGCTGTCTGTTTGGACCTTTCTGAACATGTGCAGCAAATGGACCGATCCAATATGGCGGACACTGAAGGGGGGGCTGAGACACTCTAAAGATTAAGTGTTCTGATGGCATTTTAGGAATAGTTGTATTAACCATACATGTAAACTAAGTTTTTAGGGCCCCCCCAGGAACTTGGGGCCGTAGGCAACAGCCTATTATTGCCCCAACCATTGCATGTTTTGTGCACAGGCGAAAATGATGAAAATTGTGAACGACTCCTAGATGCATCATCAATAATACAAACAGGTGTAGATTTTGCGTTCACAAGTGGAGCAGTACGGCTATCGCCATAGTTTTCTGCTTGATTTATGCATATAAATTGCTTTATTATATTTCATGCAGGGAGTCTTAGAGATTATATGGACACTGCAATGTAAGTAGAACAGGAAAGGAAAAACAGAAAAAAAGAGAAACTATGAAAGAAAGAGGAGATAAAACAATAAGTAACACCTAGATACCATTGCTGAGGCCCCCCAGGAACTTTGGGCCCTAGGCGACTGCCAGTGTATGTTTTGTTCACATGTGAAAATTGTGAACGACTCCTAGGTCTATCATCAATAATACAAACAGGTGTATTCCTGCAGAATTTGTTGGATATTTTAGATTTTGGAAGTTTCTGACTGAAAAGACAGAAATCTTCGCCGTGTTTGTACAGCCGCGGTCCAGCCGCTAGGAGTCGCTGTTGGGGCGCTGCTGATGGCCGCTCTGCCTCCGGCAGCGTGTTTGTACAGCCGCGGTCGGGCCGCTAGGGGGCGCTGCTTGCTGCCGCTCTGCCTCCAGCAGCTTGATTGGCTGTTAGCGCCATCGACCAGCCTCTACTTCCATCGAAGATGGCGGTCTCAGTGTTCCGCGGCGTGCGGCTGCTCTCCATCGGGGACGCCAACGGAGACATACAGCGACATTCAGAGCAGCAGCCGCTGCGGCTGGAAGTGAAAACGTCCCAAGATGCGGCCCTCATCAATCTCTCCAATGGTGAGCTGGACGTTGTTTCCCGGAGGAGCTCTCTGGCCGCTCGGCCTGACTGAGCCGCTAATGCTAACGGCTCAGCGGTAGCTTTAGCCGACAGCGAGCTGCTCCAGGTTACACCGCTTTATTGCTCCTTTACTGCTAACGAAACGTCTAGAAAATACTGTTAATGTTTTGTAACTTGCTGAGGATTCTGAAGAACAATAAACTTTATTGTTTCGATAAGAGCGAAGTTTGCTGCCGGGGCACCGCGGCTAACAACATGCAGCGCAGAGCGGTTTAAACACCGCCGCTAAATCATCTTAACTGGAAGTTCAACTAAACAAGCCGCTAGACGCTGAATTTAAACATCAGTAATGTTTGAAACCTTCGGCTTTGTTAGTTTCTATCTGTGTTCCACAGTAGTGCTGGTTTAGATGGGAGGCATGGTCCGGTCCCCATGGGAGCCGGTTGGTAGTTGGCTGAAGGCTGAGCTTCAATTAGCCGCTTTGAATTGATTCGCAGACCGAGAGGCTTCATCCGGGGGACCAGCCGCTGGGCTGAGCGGTCCGGGCGGCGCTGCGCTGCAGAGGAGACCCGCTGAAACTTTGAGTTTAATAACGGCTGTTTAGGCGGATTTAGCTGCGTCTCCACCGGGGCCCTCATTACTTATGCATTCATCTTTGTTCTCATTGGAACAATGGCTTAGACCCCCCCCATCCCCACCGCCTCCTCCTGCATCACAGCCGCTCTGCTCATTTTCCCACCGATGGAGGAACGGCAGCACTTCTACTAGACTAATTCTATTCACTTTATTTCTATAGCGCCAATTCACAACACGTCATCTCAAGGTCCATTACAGATCATTCAATTAAATTTATTCAAAGGAAAACCAACTGATTGCATCGACTCATTGACTCTTCAGCAATCCCTCACACTAAGCATGCTTGTAGCGACAGTGGAGAGGAAAAACCCCCTTTGAACAGGAAGAAACCTCCAGCAGAACCAGGCTCAGTGGGGTTCAAGGAGACAGAAGCAGAGAGAGCAGAATGTTAGAGATTGAACTAACAGATTCTGCAGAGTGGGAGAATAGAGATAGAATGAAGCAGAATGATGAAAAAGGGGTCCCTATGTCCTCCAGCAGTCTAAGCCTATAGCAGCAGAACTATAGAGATAGATCAGGATAACCTGAGCCACTCTAACTAGAAGCTTTATCAAAAAGGAAAGTTCTAAGCCTAGCCTTAAAAGTAGACAGGGTGTCTGC